TCTGTTTTGAGTGCACTGAGTCAGCATCAAATTCATTTCAGTGCTTCTGTACACATTGTCCTTTTAAATCGTACCTGCCCTGTGTTTACCCACAAATTTACCCATAATGCTTTAAAAAAAAAAAACTTTTTATTGCTGAGCATGCATAGTGTTTACCTGACTAAAAAGCATGTATCTAGGTGGTTTCTTGCACGCAACCTTTAGCTCTACACCCATGCTCATTCAATTCATGTACTCACAGTAGCTCTCTTATGGGTTTCCACATTTTTCTGTTGTATTGTTGTTGAATGGGTTGGGTTATTATGGTATCAGCCAAGTATTTCCGAAAAAAAAAATACTTGTAAGAGTTTTTTCTAATGTTGTCTATATGCTCCGAGCCAGCACTTGTATTATCATTGTTGCTCATGTATCTTTATTTAGTGGCGCAGAGAAAGAACACCGACTGTTGAATGTATGCTAAAGGCCCTTTCACGGCTTATTTGGTAGCGAAGTGTCTTCCTGAATGACTATACTGTGAGCTCTTTCTTTTAATTTAAAGATGTGGTAGAAGTTGTGGCCTAGTGGTTCGCACATATGCTCTGATGTGTGATCTTGAGAGATCTGGCCATTTCTCATCATACACCACTATTTCCTGTCTTTCTTGGCTGTCAGTATCCCAAAAAAAACAAACAACCAACAACAATGATTATTTTAAGAATTATAATAATGATAATTCTAGTAATGATTATAGTAATGTTATTATTACAATAATAATTATATACTAATAATAGTAATATTTCAAATTATTATAATATTAATTATAATAATTATATATTTTTTGTTTATTGTTTAATAATTGTCTAATAAATCTGAAAAACCTTAAGACTGGATAATGCTTGATGTTTGTTATTATTATTATTATTATTATTTTATTAATATTAATAATATTTCAATTTATTGGGAATAAATAATAAAAAACTGTTGTTCTTGTCGTAATTAATCATATTTTGTTATCATTGTTATGCATTTATTTATTTCTTAATGATTAAATCTAATAAATTGAAGAACACGAAGAAAGTAAAAGGACAAAGTAGTCTTTAAAAAGAAGTGATCTTTTATATTTTTAAAATTCTTTTAAGTTCCTCTGACCTGCCATGACAACCATGTAGCATGTTTTCTGTGAGTCAAGTTGGTCATGTAGGACAACGTGACACAAACAAAAAGATACAAGTTTAATGTAGAGTTATGTGGAATTCAATTTTGGACCAATGAGATTTCACAATGGGTGGGGCTATTCAGTGCAACACTCTATAAATAGAAATTAAGCGATCGACAAAACATCCCATCACTAATCACTTGCTGGATTGGCAAAAAACTCAGATTTTAATGAAAGAGCTTTTATCGAGTATTTACCTGTGTCGTTACCTCTGGTTCTTTGTATTTCATCATCAACAATCCACCCTCATTCAGTAAATAACCTAAAACCTGCTGAGCTTGTCAGAACACTTCAGGGAACATCGAAGCAGTTAATCTATATGTTGGGTGCTCCTTGATGCTATGTTCACAAACTGACTGGGTGGAAGAAAAATAGAGAAAATGTAAAGGCCAATAGATAAACGAGCCATGAGCTGTCACCATTTCATCCTTAAAGGGATAGTTTATCTGCTTACCCCCAGGGCATCCAAGATGTAGGTGACTTTGTTTCTTCAGTAGAACACAAACAAAGATTTTTAAGTCAAACCGTTGCAGTCTGTCAGTCTTATAATGCAAGTGGATGGGAATCACGGCTTTGAGAGTCAAAAAAACATACACAAACAAAACCAAAGTTTTTTACCTCTGATTTTCACCGCAATGTCCGAACTGTCCTGAGCGCGTTCAACAGCCGGCAGGTGACGCGTCTTCTTCTTGCTTTACGGCGGATCGCAGACTTATAAGTGCATTACCGCCACATATCTCTCAAGTGGACCATTGACACTCATGGTCCATTTGAGAGATAGGTGGCGGTTTGGAGTTAACCCAGGGGCGCGGGAAGATGCTTTTGGTTGGGGGTGCTGTGTGTGTCTGTGTTGGGGGACCCCTACTTCCCTGTGTTAACCGCAAATGTTTAGAGAGGACCACATACCATGAATGGCTAGAAGTGGTTGCCATGATTATGGTAGTTAAAGGTCTTGCCTGGTAATTCAGAAGCCCTTGTTTAAGATGCAGTTTGTGAACTGGTAGAGCTACTGTTCTCCTTAGTTGTTACAGCAAGTCATTTTTAGGATTGTTATTGCTTCAGTGTTCAACGAAATATTGATTTGTATCTATTAATAATGATGCATCTGATTAGAAATCCACTTTGCACTTTGCATTTGGTACATTTTTGCTCGCATATGAAAGTATGCACACACATTTAAGTGTGTTTGATAATGCATTCATGGGTTTCTCCTCTCTCTGATTCAGCATGACTTCATGTTTCAAACTAAACACATGATTTGCATGTGATTCTGGCTGTTTTTAATGTAGCGAGAAGGTCAGGGATAGTGATGGGTTCCATAGTTATTTATTGATGGCAGCAATAATGCTTTTCATAATAATGTAAATGCATTACGTTTTCTCAAACACTCAACTTTCTGTCTCTGTTTTTGCAGTCTCAGCAGGTCACACCCACCCCAACATCTCAGGTCTCCACGGGGAAGCCTGCGCAATATGAGGTAAAGTCCGTCATTGTTTTCAGTCGTTTTCTCATTTACTCCATTTATTCACATGATCTCATTTATTTGTCTGATGGAAAGACTCCTATTCCACAAAAAGGTTTATATTGCACTCTACAACTTTATCGACCCATCGCATCTCCACTGGATGTAGATAGTTGTCTGCTTTTTCCTTCTTGGAAGTATTCAGGTGTCTATTCTGTGAGGGACGCTACTGTGTTTTTAAAGAGGTGTGGCATCGTAGCTGAACGGAGAACTGGGAAAAGTCTTCTGTCTATTCAGATAAATTGTTTAATGCTGTTCCTTTAAGAACGTGGAAAGCTACATTGTTGCCTGTCCTCAATTCTATATTCTTAGCTATGATAATGTGTATATACCTAATAATAAGATCAAACAGTTTAAATGACAATATCTGCATAAATTGTAGTATGAACTAGCTTGAATTGATAGTATAGATAGACTTTATAAATAATTTGAGTTGATTCCTCTACTGGGGAAAAATACAGAGTTTCTCTTTCTTTCAGAAACATCAGGAAATTTTAGATGTGCTCAGCTGCAAGATCTTTCATCTAAAAAAGAATTCTCAATAAGAAATGTATTTATTTATTTAGTAAGTATTTTTTTTTATTTTTTTAATGCTCCAGTAGTCATGGAACATCATGGAAAACCATTGGTGTAAAGGTTTGGGAACCCTGAAGATAAAAAGGGAGAAAAAGAAACTTAAGACTTTATTTATTTAGTAAGTATTTTTTTTAATGCTTTAATTTTTTTAATGCTCCAGTAGTCATGGAACATCATGGAAAACCATTGGTGTAAAGGTTTGGGAACCCTGAAGATAAAAAGGGAGAAAAAGAAACTTAAGACATTTTAGCAATAATATGTGAAACAAGCTTTTTTGTGGAAAAACCTGAAGAAAAACTAAAGGCCTCTTGCCAGTGCAAAAGTCACTGCCACAATACGAGGTTGTTGTGGGTGGTTGTTGAGACGCTTGATTTAACAACCAGCACCATTAAAATCTACGAGAGGACAGAAAAAAATCACTGCAACAAGATAAAAAGACAAAGAAGTCTTTATATACTCTTGCATTTGTATGGACTCTTAGAGGACTATGTTGGTTGCTTATTGAGACTTTTTGATTGTAAACATAAATGTTCTTTTCATTTTTCTCGTGGTTATCTGTTAGACAGAGCATGTTGGGATATTTGGTTGTGGCAGGACATGGTGTCTCCCATGAGGAGTGTCTACCCTATGACTCACTTTCCTGAATCTAGTTACAGCTGGAGTTTGCTTTTGATTTGGTACCAAAACTCCCTGGTTAACAAATTCTATACCTAATAAAAATGAAGGTCATGTTCACGTTCCTATACAAATAAAGATCTGCCCTGAGAAAGTGTTCTGCAAGACTATAGTTGATGCCATTCTGGCACATTTAATAATCTGTCATGATCCTATAGCCTTTCTCTCAACAAGAAATGCTCTAAACATGATATATGGTTGCCATTTTCACATCTGCATTGTAGAAAGGACCTACGCAATCGTCTACAGCAGCTGTGACTGTCAAACCTGGCACCACACCTGCAGCTCCTTCAGGAGCATCTTCTGCGGGAGCTGCAGGCGGTGGAGGCTTCACCACCACTCGGAAAGGACCTTCTCAAGTCACACCACAGGTAGACACCATCCGTCTGCTGGATTTGATCAGATTACGGGTTTATTTACACCTTCCTCACACTGGGTTTCATTAGGGCCGCTGCCTTTTCTTAAAAACCTTTTTGAATTTCTTTCCTAACTTGCTTTCATTCTTGGGTAACATTTTTGGTAAACACTAACACAACACTTTTGGGCTGTTTCCATTTCCACAACATCTGGAAAACATCTGTAGGACTGTTTGTTGCACAAACTTCTGTCTACTGAAGATGGTGTTTTTGGGATTTGTTCTTTGGATCTCAACGTTAAACACATTCATGACTTTTTGGGTCTCTCTCCTCTGCCATTTCGAAATTAAACCCCATCTGCAAACCACCCTCATTTGGTTTTGTCCATCCATCTCATCTCGTATTCATACTTAAAGTGCATCTTGAATATTCGCTGTATCCCTGTCTTACTCCTGCATGCTGATTGCAGGCCACAGTCTCTAAACCCACACCTGCACCTTCTGCTAAAGTCCCAATTGTGAGCTCTGGGACTGGACCTGCTGGAACAACAGGAGTGAAGCCCACAGACCCTCTGAAAGATAAGGCCCAGGTACACCAATGCACAGCATTCCATGGCGTTTTGGCTTCTCTTGTCCATCTTCTTCTGCAAACAAGATTTCATCGACATGCCACTTTTGTGATATCGTCTTCTGCATGCCAGTTATTGCTGCTTTTACTTCAAGAATTCTCTTTTGATGGATTGTCCCACCTCAGCAATGTCTCATTCTCTGATCACCACTCTCATCTTTCACATATTTGTGAGGAGTTGCATCATTGCCCTCCTGAAAAGATAAGACAAGAGGTCTTATCTTTCTATTCCTTCACTCTCTGCATTTGCTTTGGCTGCACAGTTGCTCAGTTTTGTTTATAATCTTGGTGTTAATGTTCGAATATGTGGTGCGTATGCTCCTGATAGAGTACAACCATTCCCTCATCTCATCTTTCACACATTTGTGAGGAGTTGCATCATTGCCCTCCTGAAAAGATAAGACAGAGGTCTTATCTTTCTATTCCTTCACTCTCTGCGTTTGCTTTGGCTGCACAGTTGCTCAGTTTTGTTTATAATCTTGGTGTTAATGTTCGAATATGTGGTGCGTATGCTCCTGATAGAGTACAACCATTCCCTCATCCAAACCGGGACCTGCTGAGGTGGATCTGGCTGTTGGGAAGCCCTCGGCCCCGGCTGGTGCCCAAAAGCAGACAAGCGCTCAAAAGGTACTTTATTAATGGAATGACAAAGGATCATCGGGAATGCACCAAAATTACATCAGCGTTGTTATTTTACCCTCACATTCTCATGCTAAAGGTGCAAATGTGAGACATTTGTGCTTGAAAATAAAGTGTATCTTATTGTATTTTAAAAGGGCTTTTTGGGGGAAATCCTTAGTTTTTTTATATATATATATACAAGTATGCTATAAATTGATAAAAAGTGACAGTATCATGTCACAAATTATTGACAGTAAAGACATTGTCACACAAAGTTCTTTTGAACTTTCTATTCATTAAAGAATCCTGAAAAAAAGTTGAATCATTTCCACAATGTTTCCAACTGTGATAATCAGAAATGAATGTTATTTTAAAATATAATAGAAAACAGTAGTAATGACATTTTTAAACATATTTCACAATTTTACAGTTTTGAATATTTAACCGTATTTTTGATTAATGTAGGCATAAGAGGCTTCTTTCAAAAACATTTAAAAAACAACCCGAAACTTTTGAATGGAATTGTCCTGAAGAATCCCCCCAATGAAAAATATGTGTGATACCTGGGAATGATTAAAGGGGTCATATGATGCGATTTCAATTGTTCCTTTCTCTTTGGAGTGTTACAAGCTCTTGGTGCATAAAGAAGATCTGTAAAGTTGCAAAGACTAAAGTCTCAAATCCAAAGAGATATTCGTTATAAAAGTTAAGAATCAGCCACGCCTACCTAAAACGGCTCGTTCTAACACACTTTAAACCACATAAACATTTCATTACACCAAATACACAAAATAATGTTCTTTTTAGCAGAATCATATGACCCCTTTAAGTAGGGTGGTGCAGTCCAGATATGTCAGTATGGAATATAATAAAAAGTTATTTTGCTTTGTGCTGCAGGTGCAAGTGGAAGTGGGTCCTTCAGGAGCTAAAGTCGGTACGGAGGTGAGTTTACTTTGCTGACTTCATCTTTGTGGTTTCTGTTGTGTGATTATCAGATACTGTGTGTGTTAAAAACATCCCACGGAGTTCATTTTTATGTGTGTGTGTGTAGGATGTAGATCCGTTTGATGCCCTGTCTGGCACTTTACCATCATCACAACCTGTGGCACCAAAAGTCCCAGCATTCACTGGACCAGAGGTCAAAGAGGTACTGCATGAGTGTAGATATTTGAGTGATGTGTAAAACTTAAGCAGTTAGCATGTGTTTGTGAATGTTGATTATTTAACAGCCTGTGTCTTGCTACACGTGTGTGTATTCTAATGGAGTGTATTGCATGTCTCAGCCAAATGTAAAGGCAGAGAAGGGTGTTATCTGTGGTGAGAGAGATGACACATTGCCGCCCGGATACAGACGAGCAGATCTGGTCAGTTGGAGATCATACAAATTGTTAACCTTTTCTTTTTTTCTATCCCTTTCATCCTATTTAGTTGTTAAAGTTCAACCAAAAATGATATGTTGTTTCAAACCTGGATGATTTGCTTTCTTCCATGCAACACAAAATAAGGATTTTGAAGAATATGCTAATTGTTCTTTTCCATGCAATTACAATTAATGGAGATTGAGGCTTTTAAGCTTCAAAATGGACAGAAAAGTAGTCTAAAGAAGGGCTTGTGTGCTATATGACAATTCTTCTGAAGCCATACTGGTTTCTTTTGGGGGGTGAACTGTTCCTTCAGACATTCATTCCTTCTCTCTCCTCACATTTCTGTTTTGTTTCCCTCTTCATAATGCCTCCATGAAACCTGCCTTTTTAATGATAGCTTACTGACGTTTGAAAGTCTTTTAGAGGCTGTTTTCATTTGTTTCTATCTAAATCAAAGCATCGTTTTTTTTTACGCATGTGTTTCAGTCAATTTTCAGTCACTATTTTAGTCAGCTTTGAGTCTAAATATTGTTAATTTGTTTCTATCTAATTCAAAGCATTGTTTTTTTTTACGCATGTGTTTCAGTCAATTTTCAGTCACTATTTTAGTCAGCTTTGAGTCTAAATATTGTTAATTTGTCCATTCAGGAAAAGAAAACACCTGCTGGAGTTCCTGAGAAGCCTAAAGAAGTTCCCAAGGTAGGAGAACTGTGGAGGCCTTTTACTGTCAGTGTGCTCAGTGTGTTGTTTTTAGCCCATTTCTAATCATGTGACTCGCATTCTTGCAGTTCACACACACTTTTAAAGTCTCCAGTGTTTGCTTGCCTGCTTCCCAACACCACATTAGCATTCTGCACCTTTTTATTACGGTCTCTTTCTCACTGCATCTCCTTGTCTTCCTTGGCCTCATGCTCTAACAATGCATTTGTTTTGTGCACAAAGTTACATATATTTGTTCTTACCTTCAATGTAATGTTGATTCATTTGGATTATTTTAAATGAGTACACACCCAAACCATGGTTTTTATATGGGCAATTTTAGGGAATATGCATATGCCAAATACAGGCTCTGTTTTATGCATGATTTATCCCACATCAATCTATAATGCATACAATGTTTGTAAACAATTATTATATGGCTGCATGGTTATTTGCTTTCAAATAATATGTATATATATTTAACAAAAACCAAATTCCATTATAAGGCCACTAGGAGTCTGTCAGTTGTTTTTATTATTTTAAATTAACTGTATTTTTTCTTTATTAGTAGTAGTATTATTGTTATGTTCCTGTTTAATAAAATATTTGATATATTTCTGTTTTCCTTAAATTTAGAATGAAATATGAACTTATCAGTATGGAATAAATAATCAGTATGAACTTTTGCAGAAACATTTGCATACACTTTTAGTGAACAAGGCCCATTGATTACAGTTACACTCAGTCATACTGTCACGTATGACTTGTTTGTGAGATATTTGACATCTCACTGATATTCACTCACGTCTTAACCATTACTTTTCATGTCTCTTTCTATCTGTATTTTAGTGCCAAATATTTAGCTTGTTCTAAGGGTGTTGGCTAGCAAACAGAAGCAAACACCAATCCATCACTCATTCACTTTCTGCACATTGTTGCCCAATCAGCACATACAAGCACACTCATCTAACCTGTGCTGTATTCTACTCATTATGCAATACAAGTTTTATGTAAACACCCTTCGCCCACCATTCAGTTCTCAGAATATTATGATCACCGTCTCAGTATTTGGTACAGCTTTTCCGATTGTTTTGCCCTGATTGTTCATAGAGAGCTCAGCTTATTCAGCTGGTGGTTGTTTTATAAGTTAGCGTGTAAAAGCAGTGTGTTATTAATGTCTAGCTGTTGGTATGCAGAGGGTGTGTCTGTACTTTTCCTGCCGGGGCACATGCTGTTTGTTATTCCCCCAAAATTGGGCTTGGGGCTCCCTCTTATGGTCTTTCCTAGAATTACATTATTAGTTTTTTTGTGCACAATTTTGTTTGATTATTTTCATTCACATATGATTGTTTAATGTTTTCTAAAAGCCAATAAGCACAGCCGAGGCGCTGGACTCCCTCTCAGCTGGGTTTGCGTCTTCAGCTCCACCTGCTCCTAAGAAGACAGATGTGGTGAGTATCTTGACAACAGTTTGCTATGTATTTGCTTAATTTAGGGGTTTTCAAACTTTTTCATGCACAGCCCCCATTTATAATGATCCCTTTGCAATAGAATTTTATTTAAATGTTTTTTTTTCGTGTATAAAGACCCACTTATTCTTATAAAAATGTATATGGAAAATATTGGCTATTTAAATTTTTTTTTTTTAAATAATTATTACTATTTATTAATTAAGTTGAAAAATTTAAAATAAGAAATATTTTCTGCATACCCCTAGCACCCTTTTGCGGCCTATTTTAAAAATCGCTGGCTTAAGACATATTAGACTGTGCAGTTGTATATGCATAGTCATGACTCAATGCAAAGTTTTGTTTCTTTGTATGATATTTTTTTCACTGTTTTTCAGAAAACTGAAACGGTAGGAGCAGTCGATGTTCGTTCTGCAGGCATCTCCAACTTTGCTCCCCCTCCACCCTCTCAGGTAACAGCCATTTAAAACGCTGTGACATTATTTAACCCTTTCCAAAAACTAAATGTCTCTCTCTTCTTGAGCAGAAACAACCGGCAACATCTCAGCCTGCTACTGTAACCAAATCCCCTGCTCCACCTGCTGACAAGAAAGCCAGGATCGAGACCCCTGCACAACCCGCTAAACCAAAGACAGATGAGGTCAGTTAAAAACTCTTTTCAACTTGATACTTTAATGAAATAATATTCATTATATATTTTAAGGATTTAATGTTTAAAATCAGTCAACTTTTTTTTTTTTTTAAATTACAAACTAATTATAATAGTGTTCATTTTCTCTTTCAGAAGGACATGTCACTGGATGCTTTCAGCGCTTTGGGCGACACACTGGGTGCCCCAGAACCACCCAAAAAATTACCTGAACTCAAACCTGGGCAGATAGTTGATGTAATACTTCTGTTTATTCTTTTAGAATCCATTATTTTATTTTATTTTTTTAAGGTAGCATGTAAAAATTAGGTGCAAGTAGCTGCATCTGCTGAAGTACTAGTACTAGTTTTCTATATGTTTTTTAAATAGTTGTACATGTTTTTGAGCAGGAGAAGAAACAGACATCAGAGAAGGGTGTTCGTGTTGGGGAGAGAGAAGACACACTCCCACCAGGTTACAGATTCTCAGAGGAAGAGCTCATGAAATATCCTCCTCCTAAGAAAGAGGTCAGACATTGAATACAATATGCAAAAATATCAAATTAATGTCTTTTATGAATGTTCATTCTTATTTAATACTTTACATCTATTGAGAATTTTGGCTTGTGTGAGCAAAAATGAGTTGTGATAATGGTGTGTTGTGATTGGCTGCTGTCACTGGATGCTGTGTTCTGATTGGTGGATGTCTTTCTCAGCCCTCAATAAACGCAGATGATGCACTGGACTTTCTTTCTGGAGGTTTCACAGAGCCTGCAGCAGCACCGGTGGTTAAGGCTCCTGTTCCTCCTTCACAGGTAATAATTTATAATAATTTTCATTCAAATGAGACAATATAAGAACAGTATTACATGATTTAATGCTTATAATGTACATTCAGTTAAACTGTTAATTTGTTTAATCAGGAAAAGAAGAAACCTGAAGCGGTTCCTGAAAAGACTAAAGACGTTCCTAAGGTAGGAAAGCTGTTTCTGTGCCGTTTGTAGTCAAATGTTGTTCAAACCACCATTACTTCACCACACCATCGTTCCCCCACAAAGTAGTTATTTTAAAATAGCTTTAATTAACAACATAACATTAGTACACATTCAAACAGTTGTTTAATTATTCAATCAGGAAACAAAGAAACCTGTTGTTAAAGGGATAGTTCACACACAAATGAAAGTCATCATTTACTCACCCATAAGTTGTTCCAAACCTGTATGAATTTGTTTCTTCTGTATGTTCCCAAGGTAGGACAGTAATAGAGGGCTTTTACTGTCTGTGTTTATTTTGAGATAATGACTGGCTGACTCTACATTATATCACTTTTGGCTACTTACCAAATGACTAACTGTACATGCAATATTGATTTGATTTGAAATAGCTTTATTATGGGATAAGAACGTGACCGTGGAGTGATACGAGAGACATTTGAGAAAATGATCAATAGTACAGTATCGTACATTATAGAAATATATTTGAAGATGGAATGCAGCAATTAACCAAGTATTCCAGAATGCTTTGTAATAATGCATTCTGCAAATGCAAATAATAATAATTTTGTGTTAATGTTTCTCCTGCACAGATTAAGATGTTTTCTGTCTTTCTAATCTTCTTTTAGCCTAAAGTGGATGAATTATCAGCACTGGATGTTCTGGCAGGTGATTTTGTGGCTCCCGCACAGTTTGTGCCTAAGGTCGGTTTATTGCTCGATTCTTATCTGTGCTATTATTGTACTTTATGTCCAGTATTTCCTGTATTTGTTTTTACTCAGAAGATGATTTTTCTATTCTATTCTATTCCTGTAGGTTTCTTCGGGTGCTCCTAAAACTGTTCCACCAGGCCCTCCGCAAACACCACAGACAGATGAGGTATTGCAAATACTGGACAAAAATATATTCACAGAAATCACACAAATACATGACATTGGTCATATTAAGCATATCAATAGTATTGTGTTTTAATATTAGAATTGATGTTCATCTTTTTGGACCCTACAGATTTTTAATATCGCTCTCTTTTTCTGTCCTGCTCTCTCATTTGTGTAGGACGCTCTCAGCGCTCTGGGTGACACACTGGGTAAACCAGAGCCACCCAAAAAAGAACCTGAACTCAAACCCAAAGACATCGTTCATGTAATAATCCTATACTTCTTATGTTTTTAATTTACAAATGTAAATGTGGCATAGATGTCATTGGTACATTTCTTGGTGATTTTTTTTAATAACTGAATGTTTTTTGAGCAGGAGAAAGATGTGACATCAAAAAAGGGAGTTCGTGTTGGAGAGAGAGAAGATACGCTCCCACCAGGTTACAGATTCTCAGAGGAAGAGCTCAAGAAATATCCTCCTCCTGAGAAAGAGGTAATAACGCTGTCATAGTCTTCAGCATAGTGTGACACTGGTTGTCTTTCAGAAATTCTCATGGATGTGTGTGATGATTGGTCACTGTTGCTGGATTCTGTGATTTGATTGGTGGATGTTTCTTGTGTCACAGCCCTCCTTAGACACTACTGAAGCTATGGATTTTCTGTCTGGCGGTTTTACAACCCCCTCTGCGGCATCGGCTGCCAAGACCCCCGTCTGTCCTGCCTCTAAGTCTCCTGCTAAGGTGAGATTCAAGTCTCTTATACTCACCAAGGCTGCATTTATTTGATGATAATACAGCAAATACAGTTACATTGTGAAATTTAATTACAATTTTTAATGTTTTCCGTTTTAATATATTTTAAAATTCTGTGTTCAATTGGTGCTGAAGAAACATTTTTATTATTATCATCAATGTTGAAAACGGTTGTGCTGCTTAATAGTTTTTTTTTTGGAAACTGATCAATTTTTTTTCAGGATTCTTGATGAATAGAAAGTTCAAAAGAACAGTACTTATTTGAAATATAACTATTTTGTGACATTATAAATGCTTTACTGTCACTTTTGGTCAATTAAATGCATCCTTGCTGAATTAAAGTATAATTTTCTTTTAAAAAAACATTCTTACTGACCCCAAACTTTTGTATCGTAGTATATGTTTAATCTCAATATCATCTCCATGTTTATTTAAACCTCTCTCGTCTCTTTTCTCACTCTGCTCTTTAGCCTTCAGATTCTGCTTCCGATTTTGCTTTAGATGCTCTTGCCGGTGATTTTGTCGCTCCTTCTTCTGCATCTAAAGTTCAGTCTGCCGTCTCTGGCCCCCCACACGCTGGCAGACAGGTAAATGTCTAATTTATCCATGTTTATACATATTAAACATTTTCACACTTTACTTCTATACTGACTTTCTCTTCTACTGTTTGTTTAAGTTGTCAGAAGGTACCTCATCAGCTATGGATGCCCTCTCAGACACTTTAGCAGACATTAAAGGAGCCCCTGAGCCTGCCCCTGTCCCACCTAAAGATGTCGTTAAGGTACCACCCCTTTTAATGACCATTAGTAACCATGTTTTAACCATTTATCGAAATTTAAGCTGAAATTAAAAACACCTTAAAATGTGAGAATAACCACCAAACCTTGTGCTTCCTGTCATTGTGTGGCGCCTGCCACTCTGCATATCCTTCCAAAGCATACCAATATTAGGAAAAACTGTCTGAAGTTCATTTTAAGCAAGTGTCCTAATCATTTGTCTGGCAAAGATGCTAATTTCACATGCGAATATTTACATATGTTTACATACCCTGCTTAAAGGCACAGCAGCAAAATCAGTTTAACTCTACCTAAAGGGAAGGTGAAAATAGTCATGACAACTAAACTATGACAATACTGGATCCTGATGTTCTCACCATCTTTCTTCCCACCACAGGAAAAGAATATAGTGGAGGAAAGAGTGAGTAAACCAGGTGAGAGAGACGACACCCTTCCACCTGATCATCGGTTCACAGAGGAAGACCGCAAGGTGACTTTTCCTTCTCCTTCATGTTTCCGTACCAGTGGATTTCATTTAGAAATACTTACAACTAAAGATGTGACAAATTTTCCACTTATTCTTCGGTCTTCACCACAGGTGTTTGTAGCAGCAAAGCAGAAAGACGTCAAACCAAAGCAGGTACTTTTTTAATGCAGATTTATATGTACCATTTTACAATTTATTAAAGGGTTAGTTCACCCAAAAATTAAAATTCTGTCATTAATTCGTGTTCCAAAGATGAACGAAGGTCTTACGGGTTTCGAACAACACAAGGGTGAGTAATTAATGTGAACTAACCCTTTAATAACTTCAATAAAACAAAAAACTGCATTTCTGTCATTTTTATCATTAAGAATCATTGTAGACATTTGACGGTCTGTCTGTTCATCTCTCAGACATCAATCGATGACACAACGGCCCTTGACATGCTGTCTAGTGATTTTTCTGCAGTACCGCCCATGAAGCCCTCAGCACCTGACGCCCAACGCTTCACCCCTGAACCACAACCGCCAACATTTAAGGTACCACAAACAAACCTGCAAAAGTAACATCCCTCTAAATTCTTCACACAAATTCTGTGTTTAATTTTTTTTATCTGTCTGTGTTTCCAGGCATCAGGTCCAGTTTTCGACGAGCTGGCGGAAAAAGTGATTCCCAACCTGACTGACCCCAAAGCTAAAGACAGCAAACCAAAGGTAAAAACCACATTTGACTTTCACATAGTATTATTTTGAAGTCAAATATTTGAATAAAAAGGCAAGGGAGATAATAGGATAAAATCTGTGCATGCTGATTCTGAAAGAGCACCAGGTTTTTCCCCCAGACCCTTCATACTGGTTCAAACCGGTTTATATCAGGGGTCTCTATCTGATTACAGGGAAAGGGTGCAAAACCAAAGTCTAAACCAAAGGTAGGTTGTATTTGGAAATGAAATGCATGAATTTGTTTCTTATACTGTAGCTTTGACTCATGAACAGCAGCATGGAGAAACACAAACTCAAACGAAAAATCCCATTCAGTGACCCTTCTATCGGCTGAATCACAAGCACATGGCTGTTTATATTCATATTCGCTTAAAACCTGGTGGACAGCTTGCATTGTTTAAGCACTGTGGCTGGTCTATTATTCAAAGGCTTTGCATTTACAGCATACAGAATTGATTATTACTCCTATTGTCCACATGGTGGTGCACTGCCACAAAGCAACTTTCCTATTTCTCAACCACGTGCTTGCATGAAAGGATTTTATACTTGGTTTGCATACGTAAAATTCTGGTTTTCTGTCACAGAAACAGTCAGTACAAGATTCATCAGCCACAGAGAAGCTGCCCGGTAAACTGAGCTCAGATGTGGTGCCATCGTCTTCCACAAAGAGCGGAAACCTATAGATCGTACGTCAGTATATTTACAAACCTCTTTGAAGTTTAATTTCTATTTTTATTATACTACAATTCAAAGGTCTGGGTTCAGTATGATTGTTTTTTTTTAAGAAATTAATACTTTTATTTAGCGAGGATGCAGTAAATTGATCAGAAAATCCTTTATAATGTTAAGATTTGTATTTCAAATAAATGCTGTTCTTGATTCGGAGTTCTGAATAAATAGTAGTATCACGGTTTCCAAAAATATTAAGCAGCACAACTGTTTTCAACATTGATAATAAAACTAAATGTTTTTTGAGCAGCAAATCAGCATATTAGAATGATTTCTGAAGGATCATGTGACACTGAAGCCTGGAGTAATGATGCTGAAACTTAGCTTTGCATCACAGGAATAAATTACATTTTATAATATATTAAAATTAAAAAGTTATTTTAAATTGTAGTAATATTTCTCATTATTGCTGTTATTAACTGACCTTGGGAAAAGCCTTAAAAACATTTTAAGAAATCTTACTGACTCCTAACTTTTAAACTGTAATGTATATATTTTATATTTATTCTATTATGTTTAAGTTTTTATTTTGTGCATTTTTATTTTTCAGATTTATGGTGCGTCTCCTCATCCCTAACACAAGAAGCCATTAAAGGGAGCTGCTCGGACAAGAAATATATTTTATGGTGGACATGGAATGAAACTAAAAAATTATAACTGCACAGAGACACTTCCCCCTTCTCTTCTTTTCTCCTAAAGCAAATATAAATATAACAATCTATTATCTCCTTGTGAATGATAGAACATGTATATATGGATAGGATGTTAACATCAAGCACATGTATTGTTCTATTTTCAGTCATCTGTTTTTGGTGTGGCATTGTGATAAAATTTTTCCCACAGTAAAAAAAAATATTATGCCATATACAATTTTTATTTCTTTTTTTTCTTTACTGGGGGTCTCTCTACAGTCTTCCTCTTCACAGAGATGACAGTCTGTTGTTGTTTGAGGATCTATTGAGACACTAGTGTACAGAGATGCTGTAGGTTATGAGTTCATCATTTACAGTACAGGAATTGCAGTAGATGACCGTGATTTTGAATGCTGTTGAATGTCTGTATAATGATACAAGTCGCAAAAGGTTTGTATGGGAGGTGTTTTTCGTTGTAGTTTGTTTCCTGAAGTGCACTTACAAGGATGCTCTCAAAAATAACTAAAATAATACTGCAAACACTAAATGCCCCATGTGCCTGTTTTATCCCAAAACCCTTGGAAAATAATTTGGACAACTTCATGTTGCACTGTTAAAGTGTTTTCCACTTGATTTGATAATTTAGATAATTTTTTTAGCTTAAAGCAGCACTATGTAACTTTTTCTGTGTTCAAAATTTGCAAAATGTATATAATGAGCGAGTACATCATGAATTCATCTTCCAAACCGCGTTTTTGTCTTATTCCGAGTCACTACGGTACTTATATTTGGACTATTGTAGCCTGGTCGGGTCGTCACCGCTGCGGAGTAACACATACCTGCGTGAATCGCCATAGACATAAACTTGGAGAAGTAGCTCCGGTTGGAATGTTCTTCCGCGGGATGTGTGCAGTTCTGTTTATTTTGAATAAATCTGTTCTGCTTTATGCTCAAGGTTTTAAATGTATTTTCAGAACCACTAGTTAGTTGACAGGTGTTGCATTAGATGTGGTGGGCAAAGTCAGAATCTTTCACTTTATCTCACTTGTGTTGGTTTAAGGGCAACCGCAACGTTGCCGTTTTGCTTAACATCAGGGCTCACTCTTTGATTCTTTAAAATGTTCAAATAGCTTTCATAGCTGATGATAGAAACCGAAAATATGACCTTTAAACCCTACAGTGTCTTTCATATATTATGCTCATTAAATGTTGAACAGATCCAGATGGGTTTCCCTAGAGTGTTCTAAGATGTTGTGTACTAGTCATTGTGACAGGATGGTATTTTCAAGAGGGTATTTTTACTCTTAAAAAATAAAACAACTTGTTTGGATTGTTCTGTTCTTAACATCTTGCAAATAAAGATACAATGATGATAGGGGCTCAGGTATATTATTTTTGGATGTGTGTTTACAGAGAATGATCATAAAATACTTAAAATGTCAATTCAGACCATTCAAACTGATTAGTCCATCTTTATGTAGGCTACTGTGAGATCAAATCAGCCAAATTAAAATATTTGGTGTAGTACTCTTAACTGTTTTGGTTACAAAGAAAATGCAAAACAGAGAAGTGATCTAAAGTTAGAGAAATCCTGATGTTTTGAACATTCATTTTGAAAGATTAAATTTGAAAGCTCTGTAGAAGGAATAGTCATGAAAGGGAAACTGATTTTAATGTTACGTATTGGAATTGGATGAAATCTTTAACCATTACTGTATTTTCCTGTGTGTTACTGGATCTATAATGGGGGTGTCGAGCAGTTTAGAATGGTCAGCAGGTGTGGTTTGAGGTCTGAAAATAAAAAAAAATGAGATTGTTGAACAGAAACTGAACTGTTCCTCAAAGATTTTCATTGTCCAACAAAAACAAAAATCTTCAAAGGTGTGCTGCATGTTAAATTTGACCAAAGCACAAGACTACTTACTGTATTATGCAAGTGTGGGGACATTGACTTGTTCTCAAGTCTGGAACAAAAAAGAATGAAAAAAAAAAGAGATTTGTTAAATTTGTTCAATAAGCAAATTCAGTTAAAAACTGACAGTCATGCATTTTTTTTAATAAAAAAAACGTTCTTTAACAACTGCAATGTTTGAAAACAAATGTGTTAGAATTTTGTCTGATGGTTTATATGAATGTAAATGTATTTATGATATATGCAAATATGTGTGGTGCTCGGTCAAAGACTAGACCCCTTCATCATTATATATTATATTAGATTATATTAGTATTATAGGATTATCACATCTAAAATGCCACCTGTAGGTGCACTCTTCTCAAAGTAGGAGTTTCAATTATAACTTTATTAAAATAGTTTTAACTCTTCTAATATTTGTATTTAGTAATATTGAAAACTATAGCTGTCATCTGCATACCCAGCACAGCTATCGTTTCTCACCATTGCAAATAATTTATGATTCCTGTGACAATAATTGTGGATTTGTTTTAATTGTTTGTGTTCAGGTTGTAAAATTCTGCCCACAGTTGCTTGCTTACCTTTTCTAAATCTTACATGGCCTATAACCAATTAGAACAAATACACCATTGCATTTTGCATTCTTTAAAGGTAGATGTGACTTACGGCTGCAGTACAAAATTGTGATGATCCACAGAATGAGGAGAAGAACAAAACCACAGGCCAGAGATGACAATATCCAAGTCAAGTGTTATTATTGTTACTACATATCTTGTTTTTTGCATGTACACTGTGTTTTTTCTGTAGTCACCATGTCAGGCTTTGGATCTGTTGGAACAATTTTTGTAAGTTGTGTTGTTGGATCTGAAACAGAGATATTAGCAAAAGCATTAGGGACACAGATATCATCAATTGATATTATTGTAGTTTTTTTTTTAATTCAGTAGTTTTGTTCGCATTTCAGTGAAAATATCTGAACAACCTCAAAAAGGTCAATTTGATAATTAAACTTGTGTAAGATTCTAAAATTATTTTCAGATGATATGAATGTATTTATTTATTTGACCCATTAGTAATTCATGTGTGCCCCAATGGTGACCATGATTTCACCAAGTACAACATCCTTGTTGATCCTGGAACAACATTCCAATTAACCAATCAGAAATAAGGGATAACTTTTCAGGAAATATCTGTTTTAGGCTTACGATCAGGTTTAGGTGCTTCTACACCCTTGTTAATCAGCTATCATTTCCCACTGATTTTAGGAATAAATTATGGGTAGGGTTAAATTTAGGGGTATAGGGATTGGGTTTAGTCTGTATTTTTGGACAGTAATGTTGATCCAGGATCATCAAAAGATGTTGATCCAGGAACATGTCTTACTTGGCCATGAACCAATACCATCTAAAACTGATTATAGAGTATCAGAAGAAGAAGAGAAAAAAAGCTAAATTTGAGTCATTATTTTTTAACCTAAACGATCTGTCAAACCTTTACATTTTCGTATCTTAAATATTTCCTAGAAATGTAAATGCAGTACAATACCATAAACAAGAAAATGTTACTCACCATAGACGAGGGACAAAATCGCTTACGAAAAAGAAGTTTATTCAAGTGTAGCCTACTATTAGTATACTTCTTTTAAACTAAAAAATAAGAAAGTATACTTTCAGTCTACATTTGATGTACTTTTCAGAAATGTGCTTTATGTACTTCGCAGAAATATACTTAAAATGACATTTAAGTATACTTGACTTATACTTAGAAAAAGTCTAAATATATTTGAGCTATACTTGTGCTCTGGGAATCCATCTTTTCATTTTTATACAGTAGGGGGCGCTATTACACATCTACTGTACAAAATGTCCAAAACACAAGCGAAGAAGAAACCGAAACAACAGATGCTTCCACATGTAATGTAACACGATCAGACATAAAACAGCATCAAAACTGTGTAACGTTATGGAATAAAATGTTGACCCATGAAGAGGTAATGACTGTCGAGCTTTGGGGTGTTGATTGACTCCATCTACGTTTTGATTATTATTATCATTCATCTTTTTTTGTTCAAAATGTTTATTATTTATTTATTTTTATTTATGAAACTTACCCACATTCACGTGTTTATAAAAAAGAATGCATCAAGCTAGAATAAAATGTTTTTGTTTACAAGCAGATACCCCTTTTGATGTTTTGTATGTTCAGATATTGATATAACAAAACATATACAAATTAATACCTAAATAGGGACATAAGTATGATGTAAAGTTCACTTAAAGAAAACTTACGAGTATACTTGCAGTATAAACTACTAAACTAGTAGTTTACTGAGACTATACTTCAAGGAGTACTAAAAAAGCTACAAGTATTTAATTAGTAAACTATCAGTATGCCTATAAGTTCACTTTTACTATAGTTGCAGTACAAACTAAAAACATAAATGTAAACTAGTTGTGTACTCAAAGTTTACTACTGTTATACTTAAAGTATACTTAAAAGTATACTTTTATATACTAGAAAGTGGGTCCCAAGGAATATTGAAATAGTACACTTACAAGTATACTACTAGTACACTGATATTTGTATACTTACTACATAAAGTATACTTAAAAAATATACTTGAACTTTACTTAAGTATACTTACTAAAATAAACTTGAAGTATACTTCTTTTTGGTAAGGGATAGCACAAAAGATAATGCATATTTCATGCTTTTTTTTGCAAATGTCAGCACAGAATCTCAATTCTTCTACAAGAACAGGAACAAAACTACTGAAAGGATAAATAAAATCTCAATCACAAGATCATATCATGTACAGAATAACAAAACCCAGTCTAAAGTCGTTACACACGTGCTGTGTTTATTTCGTTATGTGTCTGTCTTTATATGAAGTAGGTCCTGTTTTGTCGAGCTGGCGGACAAACTGATTCCTAAAGCAAACCAAAGGAATCACACACGTTGATGGGCATTGTGTGGACGCTGAACATTCATTTTCAGAACACAGAGATCTAGAAGTATCACTAAAAGACATTTTTCAGATATTAACCTTAGCTCCTGAATGGCAGCAGAGAGAAACACAAACTCAAACTACAGTAAAAATCCCATTCAGTGACCATTCCATCGGCTGAAACACAAGCACATGGCTGCATATGGTCTTTGGTCATATTTATTCATCTGACAGACAGTCTGCATTATACAACATACACAATTCCGTATTTTGTCCACATGGTGGTGCTCTGCTCTGCCACAAAGCAACTTTGTGTTTTTCATAACACTGAGAGCCAGCAGATGGCAGATTTCTTTTGTAAACAGATTACAATGCAACGTGACACTGAACATGATTTTTAAGCTTAAAATGCTTTTGTGACCATTTTTACATATTAAATAAGCCCCATTTAATAAGTCTACATTGAAGCAAAACATAAAACATTTAACTAGGAACAGATTAAGATAAAAACCACGTAAAGAAAAACAATCTGATTATTGTCAATGTATTAAATGTAACCGATACAAAGATATAATGACTATAAAAAAAAAATCTAAACTTATTGGAAAAGAAATAGAGATGTTTTGAACATTTTCATTGTGAAAGATTAAGATTTAAGGCTGTACAGTCTGAATAAGCATGAAA